CGTGGGGAAGGCAGAGCGGCCGGGGAGCCCAGCCCGGCTCCCGACTCCCAGCCTCTCACTTCTGAGCTCTTGACAGACTTCGGGGGCGAAGGGCCGAGAGGAAGGGCGTCCTCATGAAAACCATGTAATTTCAGTGCCCGGGAAAGGCAGGGTGAGCGGGCTTTTGTCTGAAACTAGTGGAGGCAGTTGAGAACCGAGGCAGTCCTGGGCCTGATACCCAGATACGCACAGGAATACTTCTTTCCCTTTAAATAAAGTCAAGGATCGCGGCATCAGGAAAAGTTTGCAAAGATGACGGTGCCCGAGTTTTCCTTCTTCCCCTCCACGCCCTTATACCTCCCGGTATTCGGTGTTTTAAATGCCCTCTACTGGCATGTCAACTACGCCTTTTGTGGTTGTAAGGAAATAAATAACAGTCGGTCTTCAAGTAGAGGAAAATAGGTTAGTTATAAATGTAAAAGGAGAGTGTCACATTCAAACCTGCCTCCAGGATAAAGCTTATTTTTGTTTGTGTTTTAATTAACCCATGAACTAATGAACTAAATCAGCCTTAACTAGTGGAAAATAATGAGGGAGGTACATTAATGCAGTGTTTATTTTAAATAATAAACTTTGGCACTTTTAATGGCAGCTTCTCAAATATATCTTGTTTCTCTTCTAAGAAAAAAAGAGAAAGAAAGCACTGCTTTAGCCCAGCATATAATCAGTTGTAGAGCCTTCCCGGCTGTCTTTCTGTCTCTTCTCCAGTTGCTTGGTCCAGTCTGTTGTAGGATAATTTGCTCTTGAAGTACTCGCAATACAGAGGCAGTTAGAGCAGGTGTTACTAAATTTATTCCCTTTTCCCTTCTCCCCTGATGTAGCCTCTATGATAGCCACTTCCTCGCTTTTCCTTATTGTTCCTCCATCTTTGTAGGTGAACATGCACATTCTAGTTGGGTTTGTTTATGAACTTTTATATAAATGAAAATTCCCTATTTCTTTGCATTTTGTTTCTTTACTGGAGATTGTTTTAAGATTTATCCTTATTGTTGCTTATAGTTTGTTTAGTGTTCTATTGTAAGAATTTATCTTCTTTTGGGTGGACATTAAAGATTTTACAGTTTTCGTGAATGTGAAGAACACTATTGTGAAGCTTCTTATACATGTCCCCCATGATACCCTTTTTATTTCCCCATGGTAATCTTTTTAAGTGAGCTAGTTAGTAAGGCAGTTCCATAACTTAGTTATGCTATAAAATCACTTTATTTGTTATTAAATTCTTTCAGTTCAGAAAAGCCTTTTGAAAACAGCTATTTTAACCCTTTATGTTTTGAATAGATCTTGATAAGTGGTACCTCCCTGAGAGCCCTTTATTTATGAACTTTTAAAACACAAGTTATTTCTTTACAGTATAGTTTGATTTGAAGAGAAGTGAGAACTGTGGATTTAAATGGAATGGCTAGGAGAGGTTATTTCTTTTTCATAAGAATGGTTAACTATTGTGGCTTTACTATTTTGTTTGAGGTGAATTACCAAAACGTTTACTCACGGATTTTTATTATAAACACAAATACCTGTCTCAATTGTCATAAATTTTTGTGTGCGTCTCTATATCTTTCTGTTAGTAAGGCTATTCCTTCCTACTTCAAAATGTTTATGTAAACATTTGGGGACAGTTTTATAAAAAATAAACCCACACCAAGTTGACCTTTAGTGGAATCAGAATTCAAAATCTCATATAAAATACTCCAGTATTTTTAATTCTTTCACAATATTCAGTAGAGATTTATTGAGCACATATTATATACCTGATATTTTGCTTAGCACTGTTGATACTTTTTAGCACATGATCCTACCTCCTTTTTTACTGAAAAATTAAAATTCTACCAGGCAGAAACTTCTTCAAATTTCTACCTCTATCTTAATCTTCACCTGACCTTGCTTTTCTCTTTTTGTTTAAGAAGAAAAAATTTCTACCCGTTATCTAACCCTTCACCTGAATCTCCTTTTCTCTTTCCTGTCTCAGAGGACAGTGCACAGCTTATATCTGGGTTTCCCTTTGTTAGCCCAGTGGCCTTGCTCCATTAGTTAGCATTAACCTATGTCCTAGGATCTTTATTGTGTTCACACTGTAGGGCTTCTTAACGCAGAGTACAAGAATTTAGGGGGTTCTTGAATCCCCTGAAACTGTGAAGTTGTGTATATGCTTGCATTTAGGAGAGAATCCAGGGCTTTTGTTTAATTTTGGAAGATTTCCTAGATGTAAAGAGAATTAAGAAACAAGATTTTCTAGCCCTAGCTGGTTTGGCTCAGTGGATAGAATATGGGCCTGTGGACTGAAGGGGCCCAGGTTCTATTCCAGTCAAGGGTACATGC